CCCCGGGTGCATGGCATACATGGATGAATGGGCTTCCTCAGAATTCTTCGTCTTAAATAACCCGACTCTGGAACCCACATACGACCATGCCTTTTCAGTATGACTTCTTCCACCATGAATTTACTTTCTTCCCCCGCTTCAACTTGCTTCAACTTCTCGATAAACTCAAGATCTACTTGTTGACTTTCTCTAATTTGATCATGAAGTAGTGGTTGGATGCTTAGTGTGCAATTAAGGTGGTGATGTCCTCCACACGCAAAGCTCTCATTTCCACTAATTTTGTCAACCTTCACTTCCAACCGAGTGCATCAGCGACTACATTTGCCTTAACAGGATGGTAATCAGTTGTGCAGTCGTAGTCCTTCAACAACTCCGACCATCTTCTTTGTCGGTTATTCAATTCCTTCTGATCCATCAAATACTTCAGACTCTTGTGGTCGCTCATGATTCTAAAGGTAACGCCTCCATAATTTTAAGGCAAACACGATAGTTGCTAACTCTAAATCATGAGTTGGGTAGTTGCACTCGTGTGGCCTCAACTGACGTGATGCATATGCAATCACCTTCCCATTCTACTTCAAGACACAAACCAAACCGAGATATGAACCCTATATACCACATATTCTCCTCCCTCCACCGGTAATGCCAGAACTGGGGCTGAAGTCAACTTCCGCTTCAATTCTTCAAAACTCTCATGGCACTCTTCCGTCCATATGTATGGGGTTTCCTTCCTCAATAATTCAGTCAAAGGTGAGGCTATTTTAGAAAACCCTTCCACAAATTGACGGTAGTACCCAGCTAACCCTAGAAAACTTCGTACTCCAGACACATCCTTAGGTGGAGTCCAATTCACAATAGTTTCAATCTTCTTTGGATCCACCTCTACGCCCCTTCTAAACACCACATGTCCTAGAAATAGTACTTCTTCCAACCAGAATGTACACTTCGAGAGTTTGGCATACAACTCTTTTTCTCTCAGAGTTTGCAATACCAATCTCAAGTGCTCAGTATGCTCTTCCTCACTCTTCGAATACACTAGAATGTCATCGATGAATACTATGACAAATTTATCAAGATATTCATGGAAAACTTTGTTCATAAGAGCCATGAACACTGCTGGTGCATCAGTAAGTCCAAAAGGCATCACCAAAATTCATAATGTCCATACCGTGTTCAGAAAGCCGTCAACGTTATGGTTTTCTCTCCCACCTTCAACTGGTGATATCCCCACCTCAAATCAATCTTTGTAAAGACCGTTGCTCCTTGTAGTTGGTCAAACAGGTCATTGATTCGACGAAGTGGATAATGATGCTTAACTGTCGCCTTGTTTAGCCTCCGATAGTAATGCACATTCGCATTGACCCATACTTCTTTTTCACAAATAGAACAGGTGCTCCCCAAGGTGATATACTGGGTCGGATGAACCCTTTGTCCAAGAGTTCCTACAACTGTTTCTTTAGCTCCTTCAATTCAATTGGTGCCATCTGATACGGTGGGATAGATATGAGAGTAGTTCCAGGTGCTAACTCGTTGTTAAAATCCGCCTCCCCCCAGGAAGGTCTTCTGGAAACACATCCTGGTATTCATTGACAACTCGTACTTCCGCCAACTTCTCTTCTCTAGTCACTTAAACTTTCACAAGGATGGCTTGACACCCTTCCTTTAGCAACACATACATCTCCATCGCCGAGATGATACCCATCGGAGTAGACTTCTGTCTTCTCAACCCTTGGAATATCATATGTTTGCCCTCATCCCAAAATAACTGTATTTCCTTCTTTTGGAAATCCATCACTACGCCATGACAGGATAACCAATCCATGCCAAGAATCACATCGAACTCATTGAAATGCAAAATCATCAACTCTGCCTTTAATGCTACTCTTCCCATCACAATCGCGTATCACGCGATTAACTACCACCAAAGTACCCAATAGTGTTTTCACACCCCATTGGGTAGTCACCTCGGTTTCTCGAACATTTCTCGAACATAAAGGAATGTGAAGAGCCAGTGTCAAACAAGGCATATAGATAGCAAGTTATCATACCAGTGACAACATCAGTAGCAGCCTCCGCTGCATCTCTAGTCAAAGCGCGTAGTCCCGCCTGATTCTGGCTTCCCACTCCCCGTCCCATGGGTTGCTGACTCAGCCCACCCCCTGGATAAGAGTTATCTCCAGGTCCTCAAGATTTGGGACGTCCTCTCTACTTTGATGCTCCCCTGGAAACTCCCGCCGATGGGGTTCTTGGGCCTTGAACAGATCCCACTAACGGTGCCGGTGCTCAGGCGAGTTGTGGGCACTGTGGTCGAGTATGACCAGCCTGGCCACACTCAAAGCAGATGATCCCTACATTGAGGCAAGTTATTACATCGTCCAAAGTGCATCTTCCCGAAGTTACGACATGGTGGATAACCAACGGGACCCGTCCTGGTCTATGGAGTTGAATATGTCACCCTCGGTCTGTCATCGTATTGCACTCCCCTTCGGGTCTGCTGGGTGAAACCGGCAGAATGACTCGGTTGGACAAAAGCCTTCCTCTTCCTATCACATGTCCTCTCCTTCTAGGATTCCCTCTTGGCCTTCTCCAGGTTCTCCTTCCTCAGGGCAACCTGTTTAATGGCATTTAGGCTTACCATGTCAGCTGAGGAGACTCACTCCTGGATGGTGTATCAAAGACCGCGAAGGAACCACATGGCCAACTTCTCATCTCGGTCTGTCTCAATCTCACACCACTCCGATAACTCAAAGAATTTGATGTAGTAAGACAATACAAATATCTCCCCCTGCTTGAGATCATCGAACTCTCGCTGTTTATTATCTAGCCACTCTAGTGGAAAGAAAGTTGCCCGAAACATAGCCATAAAACCCTGGTATGTCAGTAGTGGAGGATAGACTTGCCCCTCCTCCTGGGAACCCCACCAGGTCAAGGCATGGCCTTTAAGATGCATAACAATTGCTTGGAACCTCTGCTCCTCATCATATCCCATGTAATCGAACTGAATCAGCGACTCTTTCAACCACATTGCCATTTCATTGGGATCGACACTATCCCCTCGAAACTCCTTCAGCCCATATTTCTTAAGTTGGGGAAGCTCCACCCTGATGGGGGATGGTAGCGTCAGCAACTAAGCTGTGTGTGTGGATCTTTCCCACGACCTTATTTTGTGACCGCAATCAGTTAATCAAACAGTCATAATCAATCGTAATTTAGTACTTTAGATGCCATCTTAAATCATCATATATAAATTATCGATCATTATATCGAGTCCACCAAATCATCATCACTGAATCAATTTATCAAATAAGATAATCACATAGTTTCACGAACACATAATCGATGCATGATATGAAAATTCCGGTTAATTATTAATGGCGCCAAGGTCACCATACACTTTACCCACGCTCGAGCAAATCATCATCCGTGATGCTCATGCAACCACAACACTCAATCCATGGTGCTCATGCAACCAAAACACTCAATCTATGGTTTTCAACCACAACACTCATCCGTGGTGCTCATGCAACCACAACACTAAATCGCATAAGCGAGCTAAATCTACCCACTCTCAAGAGGTGAGGGTAAGTGCATGCCATTTCTACATCTATGTGAATTAGTATGATCACCAATCAAACCATTTACATTTTTCTCATCCATCACAAACAATCCGGAATCAATGTAGTCCTTGCTCTCATGCCATTGCAGCTTGCAACCGAATGGGGGCTAATGCGTATAGGTTTGTAAACAATGTCTACAAGCTGGAAACAGTGATGGCTTGTTATGGGACAAGTTTCGCACCTCTTGGTGAACCTAAGGGTTGGAAGAAGCATAATGGTCCTACTCCCCATCCTAATGTGCACATGCTTAGGAAGCCGGGGAGGCCACGAGTTACAAGGATTCACAACGAGATGGATTGGCCAAGGGAGGGTGCATCACACCAAGTGTGTAGCAACTGTAACCAAGCGGGACATAATGCATCAACCTGCGGTGGTCAAGCTAGTGGGAGTGGGAGCAACCGAAGAGGGAGTGGTGGCCAACCAAGTGCGAGAGGTGGTAGAAGAGGAAGTAGAGGTAATAGACGTGGCTGAGAAGTTTGTTCAAATGTAGTAGTTGTTGTATTTCCTTCGAATAATCCTGTAGAAGTTGTTGTAGTTTGGTATGTAGTTGTTGTATTTCCTTCGAATAATCATGTAGAAGTTGTTGTTTGAAGTTGTTGTAGTTATGGTTTTTATCGTTAATAAAATAATAACATAATCCTATATAGTCCAAACATAATAGAAACTACATAATAATCCACACATAATAGTCCACACATAATAGTGTAAAGGAAGTACATAATAACAATCCAAAAATAAGCAAACTACATAATAGTCTCACTGACGACCACCACGACGACCACCACGACGACCACCATGCTCCACCACTAGATGGCCGCCAGTACCACACCTCGCAGCCACCCTGTTACGCATAGGTCGACCATCATACGCCTGGGAATGATCTTCCTCGTCACCACCATCCTGATCCTATGTACCGAACAGATCATCCTGCTGAGACTGAAGATGCTCCTCAGGCGCACCGCCACCATGCTGCTGAGACTGCAGATTCTGCTCATAGTTCCACATCGTCTCCTGAAAAACTTGATCACCCTCTAGGCTGTCCCACAGGTTGGGAGTCGAGGCTGCTCTAGTATCACCACCTGAAGCCATGTTTCAGCCTCCCATCGTAGTATGCTGCGGTGTATGGAAGCTATCCTCTGGCTCATAGAAGCTCGAAGACGGATCTGACTGAAACTGTTGCCGTCGCGGTGGCTGAAAGCTCGAAGACGGATCTGACTGAAACTGCTGGCGTCGCGGCGGCTGAAAGCTCGAGGAAGGATCTGTCTGAAACTGCGACCGAAGCGGATTAAACTGGAAGCTCCTCGATGTAGGCCGGATGGGCTGTGCTCGCTGTCGATCTGAAACCCGAAATGGGTTAGGTACATCAGGATGCTCACGTCGCTGTCTACGTGGCCTACGCTCCTGTCTGAACTGTGGATCTGGGGCGACCCAATCCGGTGTCGGATCAGTACGCTCTGGCCAGGCAGTCATGATAGGCTCCACATAATGGGGCCGTACAGGTACTGTGAGATCAGGGTATCTACGCTGCTCAAACCCTAGAGTAGCAACCCCGGATGCCATAAAGTTGGCCAAGTCCTCACACTGGTTAGGGGTCAGCCCTCCAGCCTTCCCACCGTCATGCAAACTCACCTCAGCATGCTCGATAGTGTCGTACTAAAAAACACAAACAAAATGTCAGATAGTTCACACAGTTAACAACAAATTAAGCAAACAAATCAAATAACTAACCAATGCCTCCGCTACAGCTCCTCTCCGTGTGCCGGAACGTCTGGTGACATCTCTATACCACTCCATATGCTCCGAGTGGTAGGCTAACTCCTCATCAGTGTATGAAGATGTCGCTACAAACTCGTGTCGACGGTTCCAAAAATCAAGCGACTCTCTGGAGGCGTGTACCAACTGCTGCCCACGCGATGGCCCACGAGTAGCCTGGCGAAGAAAAAACCTAACCTCACTCTCAGGATGTGGCTGATGAGGCTCATGCTGCCTCATGCCAAACTGCCGGAGCACGCGGTCTGGATGATGCCACATCACCGATGAAAAGCAGATAAGTGGCACTACTGCTCGAAATGTCTCAGACTGTATCACACTACCTCTGAGATGAAGTGCTCTCTCACGGTAAGGTTGCCACTACATAGCAAAAATTTAACGTTATTATCCCTAAATCTAAAAAAATAAAACAAATGAAAACTATTCTATAAAATGGAATGTTATATACTAACCACCACGGTGTCCATCGCGTCAAACCACAGCTTGTACTGGAATAGCTGGTCACCATACTGACGACTGCTAGCCGAAAGCCATCGAAGACCACGTGGATGTGCATCCTCGGTGGCCTGTGCCCTCGTCTCTGAATCTCGAGGTGCCAAATGTGGGAATCGCTCCCACGCCCAGAACTGCAGTAGGGCGACCCATCCACCAAGGTCACCGGCTAGAGAAGTGCCGGTATGCGTAATGTGCAAAGTCGACCTACCCATCTCACGCTACAGGTAGGATAAAACAGCAGCTCCCCAGGCGAACCCTCCAGCCCTCTCCCAATCCTCAATCAGAAGTAGGTACTGTAGGTGCACCGTAGATCCAGACCGATCCGGGAAAAGTACACCTCCAATCAGAGATAGAGCATAAGCTCGTGCAAACTGCTCTATAACCTCCTGTGATGCATCTTCCGGCAGATGACTGAATTCAACCCTCAGCCAAACAATCCTAACAACAGCGACCCCGCCTACAAGATCAACCGGAACCCGTCCTAACAGTCTCAAACAGATCGCCGACCACTCCTCATTTGGTATATCAACTACGACGGCATCACCGTCGATCGCCAAACCGGACAGTGTAACAACGTCCTCTAACGTGATCGTGATCTCACCACACGGTAGATGGAAGGTCGACGTCTCGGGTCGCCACCGCTCTACGAGCGCAGTAATCAAACTCGCATCGGGGTTCATAGGGACTAGGGGCACGACACTTAACAAGCCTACCGCTTCGAGATATGGCCGATAAAGCTCACGGTAAGGTACTAAAATGGTCGTACCTCGAACATGGTAAGATCGATCACCAGCCTATAGTGCCCAAAACTTATATTAATTCATCTTCATTCGTAATAATTCTAATTTCACCTAATTAATTCTAATCTAATATCAAATTATACTAATTAATTCTAACAGTACAGTTCAGTTCACCAACTAAAATAATCTAATTAGCTAATTAACTTTACATGAATAATTATCAAATACTTACCTCGTTTGTCCAAACAGAGTCAATACGATCTTGGCCTTGTGCCCAAAGAAGTGTCGCATCAACCGGACCTGGATCAATTGTCGCCGGCGGTAATCTCATCGAATAAGGATCCATAAGCCTAGGAACTGCAAAAACAAAGCAACAAAACGTTAAAAAAAACACAAACCATTAAAAAAAATTCAAACCATTAAAAAAACACAAACCGCGCAAACGGCCGCCACGACCTCGCCGGCCTCTCCCCCTGCCTCTGCCGGCGGCGACTTCTTCTTCGTCGGAGGACATCTCCGGGCGGTGGCGCTTCTGCTGGTTGCGGCGGCGCCGGACTCTGGGGCGGCGGTGACTGGCACAGGGGCGGCGAGGCCTGGCATTGGGGCGGTGGGGCCTGGCACTGGGGCGGCGGGGCCTAGAACTGCCGCGGCGGTGCCTGGCACAGGGGCGGCGGCGCCGAGAACTGCGGCGGCCTCGCTCCTGGTGGGTGTGGCGCTAGGTAGCGACGGCGGGAGAGGAAGGAAGGAGGTGGTCCAGAAGGGAGGAGGAGGCGTGTGGTCGGGGAAAGGAAGAAGAAGGAAGGAAGGATGTGTGGAGGAGGAGAAAGGAAAGAAGATAAGGCTGTGTGGGTGTGGGGGGGGGGGGGTCGGGTTTTTTTAAAAAAAAGGACTAAGGTGGGGGCGCCTTAGTCTTTGGCGCCAGCACTTAGGCCAGTTAAAAGAAAAACGGTTTAAGGTGGGGGCGCCTTAGTCTAAGGCGCCAGCACCTAAAACTTTTGTTAAATTTTTTTTAAAGCGGCCAGGCCTGAGTCTTAGGCGGCCACGCCTCCTTCTAGCCAAAAAACACAATATTTTTGTCAATACTATTTAATCCGCAATATTAGTGGTAATTTAAAAAAAAAAACAATATTTGTGTCAATAACCCTCGGCTGCTAGGGGGGAATTTGAGGGGGGGGGGGGTTTTGGGGAAATAGTGAGAGGGTCTGACTGTATTATTTTTTTTATAATAATAATGATAATATTATAATATTATTATTCTTAATCCGTGATTGTAACCCTCTTAGCACGTAATCGTCAATCCAACCGATTCCAACTTAAGGTCGAACCTAAAATCAAAATACCGGGGTGTTACATTTCCTCCACCCTTACAAAAATTTCGTCCCCGAAATTTGGAATTGGAAAGATAATTACTTGGTCTAAAACTTTTGGTGTTTGACTAAAACTTCTCAAGCAAGAATATAACATTTCCCTCTCCCTTAAGAAAAATTTCGACCTCGAAATTTTGGTCCGAACTTATTTAATAGGTTTGGTACCGAGTACTAGAACTGAAAGTGCGTCTTTCGAAGAAAACAACCAACTAGCGGTCTATGCTTAAAGCAAATACTCCTCCACAGTCTCCCTATTTCTTCACATGATCACATCAGTGTGCTTGCTCGTCCCCTCCATCGTCACCACGATCTCCCTCTATCCCTCGCATGACAAAAACCCTCGGTTGTCCTCCTGCTGGAGGCCCCTGGTCTCTGTCCCGATCGGTGCGGTCGAAGCGCCCAGTGCGTCCTCCCTGGCTCTGGAAAAAGCGGTTTGGCTGGCCGCCAACCCGTGGTCTTTCGTGAGTCCTCGCTCCACCGCCCCGGACAGACTGCTCGGACCGAGCCATCCCTTGTCCGCCTCTCCAGGGGCATTCCCTAGCGAAATGCCCAGGCTCGTTACAGTTATAGCAGACCTTGGGGGGCTGCCTACACTCCCCTGAGTGATCCCGCCCACATTGGTTGCAGAGGCCTCTGTTGCTGAAAGTTTGACCAAGCCGGACCGAGCCGGTTTGACTCTGAGTACCCCCAAAGCTAACGGTACCGCTCGGCCTCCTTCTGTACTGACTGGGCTGGCCGTACCTCTCTGGCATGCTACTTGCCTTTCTCTTGCTTCCCTCTTGCTGTATCCCTTCTTCATGCATAGCTGTGTCAGCCCTCTCTATCCGAAGAGCCGCCTGATAAATTTCCTCCCGACTGTTCCATGCCAGCATGCTGAACTGCTTCTTAAGGGCAGGCTTCAGACTCTCCAAATAGTGGGCACGTTGAGATGCCGCATCCTGGAACTGGGGTCCCCCATAGGGCAGCAGCTTCTCGAACCTGGAGGTGTACTATGCAACACCCTCCTCTCCTTCATTGCCCCATCCTTGGTTGATCGGCAAAAATTCCCTCTTTTTGCTCAGTCGATAGGCCTCTGGTACATAGTGATCCCGGAACACCCGCACAAACTCTGGCCAAGTGATAGCTGGTGGGTCTTCCTGACTAGCTGGAAGGGTGCACCACCAATTGTATGCTGACTCCTCGAACAGGGATACTGTCAGTAGCACCCTATCCTCATCATCTGCCCTCATTTCAGTCAATGTGCGCGAGACCCCCAACTTTTTTTCCCGATCTCGTCCCAGTCACCGAGGAGCATAGGTAACCACATGCCTTGTATCCACCGGTTTGACTTGTCGGGGAACAGAAACCCACCAACCAAGCCAATTAGGTAGACACGTGCATACCGCTCCACCTGATCTTCAGGAGTATCCGGGCCTATATTAACCTCCAACTGGATGTGGTCAACAAGCCACGGGATCGATACTTGCCCCGCATTCAGTGGTGGATGCCCAGCCCCTTCGACGGGCGTGGTGGTCGGCATGTTGAACCCCAAACGTTGTTGAATCAATGGCCCCCAACCATCTTCCGGTTTTCTCGAGTTGTCGATGATGGCATCTCCGGTGATCGGGAGCCCGGTGAGGATGGCAACATCTTTGAGGGTGATTGTCATTTCACCCTCGGGAAAGTGGAAGGTATGCAGCTCGGGGCGCCATCGCTCTGCCATTGCCGTCAGCAGATCGTTGTCAATATCAAGTCTCATAAAGTGCCTCAGCATGTGCAATCCCGTCCTCTCTAGATAGGGTTGCAGTCGAGCATGCCAACGGGCAATCGACATGTCCCTCGATGACTGATAGGAATAAGTGATTCCTACAAAACAAAAAACACAATATTGTCAGTCAATAGAAAGCAAAATAAAAACTTTAAAACTATTGAAATAATTTTAGTGTGTCTACCGGATTATTGTTCCAAATTGAACGGGAGCGATGTTGATCTTGCCCGGTTAAATACCTTCGATCCCTTGGGCCAGGATCGATATACAATCGAGGGTCGTATATCTCAGCACCCATCGAAAAAATAATATGAAATCAAATCAATTTAAATTTTAGCACCCATGTAAAAAAAAGGGTAAATACAATTTAATAGCCAAACCTTTCACTCGTAAACAAAATAATAGCCAAACGTTTCTGAAAACAATTTAATAGCCAAACCGTCAACTTTCCGTCTGGTCAACTGTTAGTTGACCCTGACATGGCAAATAAATAGCTGAGTCGAATTTTTTTGCTGATGTGTTAAAAAATTAATTTTTATATTATGTCCCATCAACATATTATTTTAGGAAAATCATATATTATTGTTGAAAAAAATGCAATTAATTTTTTTTTTAATACTCAGACCTTCCCCTTCCTCCTCCTCCATCGACCAAACGTCCAAACCATGAGAACCACTTCCCTCCGGCTGCACCTCTTCCCCTACTCCTCCTTCGACTTCTTGTCTGGGACAAGGCAAGTTTGCCAGCTGCTGCAATTCGCCGGAGATATCCCTGCTACACCCAGAAAAATTGTTGAATGTCCGAGAGATCCTGAAACTACTCTGCCGCAACGGAAGACTACGCTGCCGCCGTCACCGACGTCTCCGACTTGCCAGAGCAGTTGAGGAAGTTCCTGGTGGCGAGATCCCCGAGGCGCATGTCGATTTCATCCCGATTAGACTCTCCTTCTTCAGATCTGTTTTATTTTCATCCCGATGACTTCTTCTTCTACTTCTCCAGTCCTCTAGAAGCCCGATTTGAGGTCCCCTAGCAGTCCTCCTATGTTACCCTTCTTCAGCAAGATCGGCGACGTTTCTCTAATCTCGGCAGCTCTCTATCATAAGGCCCTCCTCTGCCTCCCTTTATTCCCCAGATCAAAAACAATATTCTATGTTACAAAATCGAAGAACAAATCCATAAAGTAGATGAGAATGGAGTTTCCAGGTTGATTGATTAATTGATGCGAGTTCAGATCTGGAAGGGTTTTCTTGTTCTCAGTTTAGGGAAGATCGAGATTGGGATGGAAGAACTAAGATTTGGGGATTTTTTAGTTTAGTGATTTCGATCTCAAAAACATTAATGGCTCTCCGAGTCCTTTTGGTCGCCGCCAATGCGAGAAATGGGCTGACGCGGGAGAAGAATAGGGTGGATGAGATTTGGGGATTTCTTTTGATTTTTAATTTATTTAAAAAAATGAATTATTATGTAAATTTCCACCTCATCAGAAAATTTCCACCTCATCACAAGAATTTTGCCACGTCAGAGTCAAGTAACGGCTGACCGGATGGAAAGTTAACAGTTTGGCTAATAATTTGTTTTTGAAAAGATTTGGCTATTATTGTGTTAAAAATGAAAGGTTTGGCTAATAAATTGTATTTACCCTAAAAAAAATCACAAAAGAATAAAATTAATTTACGTACTCTCAAAGCCTCTTCGTCCATTTTTTGCCGAAAAGCTAGCGAGAGTATCGACAAAACAAAAACTCTAGTAATTCTTTCTGATGCGGAAGATCGGACTTCGCCGCAACCACAGAGTATACTTAGAACGAAACTAGAGTGAAGTAATGGAGGGAGAAAGAAGTATAAAATGGTGGTGTGGTTTGGAATGAGAGGAGGGGGGGGGGATTGGTATTTATAGTGTTTGGGCGCTGGAAAAGTCTTGTGCATTGATCACCGCGTCAAAGAAACACGGTGAAGTCACTGCGTCCAACAAAGGCGGTGATGGCCCGGATCGGTGACGTGGCGCCATGTGAGGCGTCGGATCGTGGAGAAAAACCATAATCCGCGCCTCACCACATCGAACGGCAGCGGTGAAGGCGCGGGTGGGGCGGATCGGTGATGTGGAAAGCGGGGCTATCACCGCTTTAGTCATTAACGGTGAAGTGCCCCCGCGCGTCCACGTCAGCGATCCGCACCACTTCACCGCTTTTGATACCAACGGTGAAGATCTCTTCACCGCGTCCCTTATCAACGGTCATATAATCCCCGTTGTTCACCAAAGCGGGGATTGGTTCCCTGTTTTTCTCCACAGCGGTGATAGCATCACTGCTTTTGTCAAAGGCGGTGATGTTATCATCGTTTTAGACCAAAACGGTGATCATAATTACTGTTTTTGTCTACGACAGTGATGTTGAAACTGCTGTACTTTGGAAAATAATTTTATAAGTACGGTATTTAGGGAATTACTATTATCTCTTTAAAAGGACAAGTTACAAGTTTACTGTTTGGTAGAGTCACATCCAAACACTGTTACTTAGTTTGCTTTTTGGTTCTCTTGATCAGTTCTTGGTTGCCTTCTGTGACTTGGTTTGCTTTTGGGTTCTCCTCATCATTTCTTGGTTGCCTTCTGTGACTTGGTTTGCTTTTGGGTTCTCCTCATCATTTCTTGGTTGGCTTTACTGAGGACTAAAATTGCAATTATGTTTTATTTCTTTATCAAACAAAACAATTGCACCTAAATTCATGTGTACTCGATCAAATTCGATTCGTTTCGGTGTTGCTGAACTTTTGGTCGGCAACAAATTTTATCAACTTTTTTAAATAACGAATTGGGCCAGGTGTGCCTCTTGTTAAGAATTATATTCAAGCTAATTCAACCCGGTCACGGTGTTGCCGAATTTTGGGTCGGGAACGAATTTTATCCGCTTTTGATGGGTCGGGTGTGCATTTTGTTAAAAATCTTGCCCCGCTTTATCAATCCGGTCAAAACGAGTTGAATCCAGTGTTGAAATTTTTTGGGTCGGGACGAGTTTTACCCACTTTTGTAATTGACGGGTTAGGTGGGTGTGTTTTTTTTGTTGAAAACCCGGTACGCTTTATCAAGCCAGTCAAAGCGAGTTGAATCCAGTGTTGATGAACTTAGGGTCGGGAACGGGTTTTACCCGCTTCTGTAGTTGTCGAGTTCGGCCAGGTGTGGTTTTTTTTTTTTTTAACTCATACCGCTTTATCAAGCCAGTAAAAGCGAGTTGAATCCAGTGTTTCAAAATTTCGAGCGAGGGACGAGTTTTATCGATTTTACAAACCCTTTTATGATATTGAACCCAAATCCAAATAAGTGTTGACAAATTTTGGCTTAACGCCGAGTTTTTGCACGTTTAAATCATTGGATCATGGAGTCAATGGTATTAGACCTGGTTAAAGGAAGTTGAATTCGATTTTTTTTCAAATTTTGGTTGATAACGAGTTTTAGACGGTAAATTTGACCTAATTCGACCCGGTTAATGCGAGTTTAATTCGGGGAGTACATCAATTATTATTATTATTAAGAAGAGTGATTTGCACAAACAGCATATTCTGTTCAGGCAGCCTACTTTTAGTGTTTACCCAGACAGGATTTACTATTGATAGGCCTGTGTTTGGTTGATGCACTGTAGTGGGCCTGCTTTGCCACGTTTCTGCAGCAGCTTCGGCCTTCTCTCTTGCTCCTTTCCTCTGCCACGGAAATCGCGCCGGTCTCAAGTATGGCCCAAGAAAAGAAAGAGATGCAGAGATATTTTTAGTGGGTTATTGGTGGATCTAAAGGCCACGTTGGTGTTTTATTTTGGTCCACTTATTTCACCTACCAGTGCTTGCTTTACCCTTTCTAGAAACAGAAACAAACCCAACGATGTTCTCTCTCCTTCACTCCCTCTCTCTTTCACTCACACAGTTACACTCTTTCTCCAACTCTCTTCTCTCTACGCTATGGCTTCCAGCAGAAACCTCAGTCTCACCTCATCTCTTCCTCTCTCTCTCTCTCTCTCTCTCTCTCTCTCTCTCTCTCTCTCTCTCTCTCTCTCACATCTCAGGCCCGGGATAGGGAAACGCCGACCAGAGAATCGTTCGATGACCTCCGGCGACGAAGAGAAGATTCGAAGATTCAGTAGCTTAGAGCGGTCACCGGAGAAGGTGAACTTGGGCGGCCGAAAGGTGAATCTCAAGTCTCTCTCTCCTTTATCGACTGTGATCTTGCAGGTTTCGTGTGTTTTTCAACAACCTTCTCTGTGTTTGGATTTTAGGTTTGTTAACAGGGATTCAGAACCGTGGTTGGGCGAAGAGGTGAGGAGAGGCAACTTTCATATGAGGATTCCGCAAGAGAGGGGAAGTAGAGAAGGGTGAGATCCCTATATTTTGTTCGTTCTTCTCTTCTCTAAACTCTCCCCTCCAGGTTCGCTCTTATTTAATTCTACTCTCTTCTCGACTTTTCACTTTCCCTCTTTGGTTTTTTCCTTTTCTGGTTGAGAGAAAACTCGCGTCAGTCTTGAGGGGGGAGGATTCTCGGAGTAATCAAAGTGATGGTGGTGTTCGAGCTATGGTGTTCGAGCTATGGTGTTCGAGCTAGACGAATGTGATGGTGGTGTGCAATGGTTATCGGCCGGGTCGTAGATCCTGGTCTGGCTAGCAGGCGGATTCTTAGGCCAGAGCTTGCTGATGGAGAAGAGACGTGCACGTTCAAAGTTCTTCCATATCAGGTATTTTATTCCTAGGACTATGGTTCTGCTTTTGTGCTTTTGTCTCCCCAGTATTCGATCTCATGTGCTTCCATTTCGGTATCTCTTTTGCTGTAGAGTGAACCAGAGTTTCCTGATTTCTTCTCTTCTCTTTCAACTGCGTGGATTTGAGTGGTCTAAGGACTGGATTCGGAGAAGTGCAGAGAGTGGGTTCGAAGATTCGGCATATCCCTAGGTTTTACTTTGCCTTCAGGTGATTATTCCTTTGTTCTCTATTTATTTGTTCCCTCAATTTTCCTTGATGGGTTCGTTCTATCTCTTTGCCCATAAGGCTTTCTCAGGAACTTTCCTCCGCTGAAAGCTCTAATCAAGTTGTTTCTCTCCCATTCTCACCTGCGAGCACTGGAATCGGAGAGGAGAGGAAATCGAAAAGATGGCTCAATCCTTTCCAGAAAATGAGAGTTGGGGGTGAACCCACCGCGGGACGACGAGGTTCACGACGGAGGGTAAAAAAATTTGTTTGCTTAATCTAATGGTTATTAATGGTTCGAGGTTGTTTATTTTTTTGGTTTTGATTCGTCTCTCCTTTTTGTTCGATCCAGTTTATCTCGAGAATCCTCTCGGATGGGGATCCAGGCTCGAAGCAACAGAATGACCTAATTGCTACTTTGAGAAACCGCCAGAACGTTAGAACAATCAAATAACAGGTTCTTCCTGTTTTGGTTCACTATCTCCAGTTTTTTTCCCCCTTCAGTTCTTGATTGATGATTTCGTGGTTTTTTCTTCTTTCCTTCATCCCCCAATCGAAAAAGAGTATGGATTCAGGTTGATTGATTCACGGGTTTGCGAGATGTTGATGGAATGCCTCTGGACAGTGTCGTTGGAACATAGATATGGATTCCGAGCCTGGCGTTGGTAGTGTTACTGGCGAGGAAATTGATTTAATGGGAGCAGCTCCTATGCATATATCTTCAAAGCAGGCGAAGAGTGAGTTTCACTCATATGGGCGTTTGGACCTCTCCTTTAGAAGTTCACTTCGTGGTGGGTTCGTGATTCAACCTTCAGAAGGGAAAAACAGTCTTTGGCATTCTAATGGCTCATCCTTCACACTGTTAACATGAACCCATCTTGTCATTCCCTTTGTGAGTTATTGCGACTACTCTTTTTAACCAATGGAAATAAACTATGCATTTTGCAGTTATGCCAGGCAGCTTTACCTCCAATATTCAGAATCTACTACTGTATCCGAACCAAAGGAGTTTCCAGCTGATTTAGATTGGAACTCCTCGGGAATTAATGCTACCGATGGCAGAAGAAGCATTTTCTGGAGTCATTCACGGGTTTGAGAGATTGAGGGTGGTTTCGGAAGAGATGTAGGTCCACGGATTTGGGGTTTCGGTTTGAGGTGATTATTCTCACTCTCCCTCTCTTTCCCTGCTGTGTTTTTTCCTGAACTTTCTTGAATGTGATTGTGCTCTCTTTTCCTGTCTCAGAAGGGTCCATTTGGTCTTGGAGATTTCGTCATTGAGTTTGCTTATGGTTTTGCGTTTGATTCCAGGTGATAGTATATTATTCAAAAAACTCCATCAACTGCCGTCTTCTCGATGAACCTTCACCACGGTGAGGTGCATCTTCCACTTTTTGTTCTATGATTCATTCCTTTCCTCAATTGTGCCATAGATCTATGATTCAAGCTAATGGAGTTTGAATTGGTATAAACATAACTGGCTCCAGGACTGAAGAAGCATCTGAATGGGATCAATGCTCCTACGCACCGGATGCCTGACAAGCTTGACAGCCCTTTTGTATGGTTTCCCCTCTCCTTCTCCTTCTCCTTCGTTTTTTGTTTTGTTTTAAACCTCTGCAGTGATCTAATGATTTTTACTGGTTTGCCCCAATTTATCAGGCTCGGTAGTTGTTGTCTTGGCCTCACAAGTGGTAGAAGTGCCTGCTGCTCATTCTTATCTCCAAAATCGTCCAAAGTATGAACTTGCTTCGTGCGGTTGATCTTCTGATGTGTCGTTTGGTTATGGTCTGTCACACAATCAGGACTACCAAGACTTTCCTTGCTGGTTTTTTGTGGGTACATCTTAGTTCATTTCTCAATTGAAACATTTGTTCTATGGGGTAAACACTGCATTTGTTTCTTTACTTTTTTTTATATGGCTTTGCTTCACTATTCAAGAAATCAAGGATGATCGTAAAGAATTGTATTGCTTTCATTCTTTGAAAATGGGACTACAATTGGTCGGGACTGAACAATTGTGAAGTTCTATTACATCATGAATGAATTGGTGAAGACCTTTGACTAAATTTGTTGTGTGGGTGAGATGTAGTCTGAATTCTTTCGCCTTCTTGCTTATAATCGTAGATTTGAGGCAATTGGATGATGGAATTGGGGGCATCTGTTGTTGTTCTATAGGGTCTTCTTTAATTGCTAATTGCAATTTGTCAGCAAGTGTTAGTAAAGATGTTGTTAAAGAGAAGTCAACACTGCTCTGTTTGGCAGAGGTATTAAATCTGTAACTCATGTGAACATTTATGAAAAATTCTCCTCCTTTTCTTGGATTTGTGAGGCTAGCGATCTGCAGTGTGATGCCTTCAAATAGCTTAAGTGGTTGGTTGTTGGGGCTTGATTGGGAGGCCTAAGTTGCTCTTTTGACTCATCTCAAATTGTCATGTATTGGTGTTCTTTTTGTTAAGCTTTGAGGTGTGAAGTTCTGTATCAGACCGTTTCAGTGGTAATTCAGCAGTGTTCAAAATCATGTTAATTACGTAGCTAGCACAAGAAATGAGATCTATTTGTATAAATTGGCCACTTGATTTATGTCTTGGTGATACCTCAACTCTCAATGTGATGCTTAATTTATCTAGTCAGCCTTTCTTGAAGAATCGGATTGCTTGCTTTCCCCCTGTACAGATTTTCAGTATTGCTTAATGTACAATTGCCATTCTTATCAGGGACTTTACCGGGCCATGACGCAATACCATCCCCAGTACATTCTATGGGCTGCTATTGTAATGTTATCATCTATGTTGTCATTCTTGGTTCAACAATGATGATGCTTAGTGTGGGTTGGCAAACCACGCAATTCTGCATCCCCATGAACACTTACGACACAAATCAAACATTCCCCGTTGCTGAAGTCTGTTTATAATGGTTTGTTCTTAGCACTTTCAGTTTCTTTCTTGCCTGTCAAGAAATTTATCTTCAAACACTTTGGATTAACATGTATATAGTTTTTGTATGGAATCCGCAGGGTGAGAGTACTGATTGAATAGGTGGGTTCGTGTGATTTGGTGCTAGGAATTGGTAGGTCAGAGCAAGAGAATTGATGCTTTTGCAGGTTCGTTGTATACTACATTTGTCTTTCCTTTTAGATTTTTCTTTTTGGTTCGTCCTTTGGTTACTTGTGTTTTTATAAGTCGGCTGTGGAGGGTACAATTTCTATGTCTGGCTTACCTCTTTGCAAACCCCCAATCTTTTTTCTTCTCAGTCTTCGTGTTTGGTTTATTTACTGCCTCGGTTGTGTGAGTCAGACTTTTGGGGAACTGGATGAGAGGGGTCATTGAACTGCCCGACTTGGTCTGGAAAATTCATGATATGTATTTATGTTTCTTCGCACTAAATCTGTTATTCCTTTGAATGGGTAAAGTACATTGGGTTTGATTCGGATTCGATACTGTTAACTGTGCTGCTATTTGATTCCTCTCCTTTGTTGTCAATCTGATGTCACAAGTTTAAGGGCAGGTATTTGTGCAATTGTGTTTGGTAGGCAAATGGTGTCTTTCATAGGCTATTTAGTTTCATTTTGGGATCTAAACCAAGTCAGACTTGAACACTGAACTTAGAGAGCGTCTGATGGATTATTTCCTGTTTACATATAGAAATTCTCCATTGGTCTTGACATGTCTTTTTTTTATTATCTAATTATAGTAGATTCTCTAGCCTTACATCTTGGATCCATTAACATGTATAATCTCGGCGATGTTTTTTTCATTAATTTTAATTTTAGTTGTTAAACTTGGTTCGGTTTGTTTGCATTAGCTTAGCACTTCCTGAATAGAATGGAATTTGAAAATATACTAGCCAAACTTGCTTATTCACAAAATAAAAAATGACTTGGATAGATACAGAGTCGTATATATATGAAGAAGCTTGCTCTAAAACATCGTGCTTGGTCCATAATCACTCATCGATTTAGAAGGTTCTATAATTGATGGATTGGAAGTAACTATGAGGTTGTTTTGTGGTAATTAACTATGACCAACGCCATAAAGATGGATGGACATATTTTCAGAGCTATTACCTAAGTCTATTTGCGATGGACAGGATGTATCGAAGACTTGGTGCTTGTGAGGATACTGTTGAGATTTTATGGTGGTCAGATGAGAAAACTAAAGTGTGCTTTTAGGCTTCAACTTAATTACGGGAAGCCTTCCGTCGTGATGATATATGCAAGTAAGGTTAGAGTCCAGTCTTCTTTGTTTTCATTGTTCTAGCTTGGGAATGGTTTTGAATTGGTAGATAGGCCCTGTGGATCCCCAAGAACATTAGGTGGTTGGATGATGAGTTACTAGATCTACAATGTTGAAACCGTTCTGATTTCGCGTGCCTGTAGATTCCTTTTTATTAAATTTGGCCTATCTTTGCAACCTGTGAAACAAAGTGTGTGATGATGCCGTTGCTGATTTCTTATATGGAAATTGTGAATCTTCTTCCATTTGCAGGCTGTGAAATAAATTATGCAGTTCTGAATTCTAGGACTTTATGAAATGGACTCAGTTTGGTAGAGTTTTCTTTTCGGTATGGTTGTGTTGGTGTTACTTTCCTGTAGCCATAATCTCTTTTTAAAATGGAAGACCAGAAAGCTAGCCTTCCCAACTGAATTGCAAAACTAAAAAAAGTCGAAGACCGTGCATTCCCAGTCCACATATATATGCTTCATTATGTGTTTGGATGACAAGATGCACAATTCATGAACTAACTAATAAGAAAACCTATTGTGCATTATTCTTAGGAAAGGAGAATGCTTAGAGAATGCAGCAGCCGAAAGAGGGGAGTGCGAAGAGAGTAATAGGGTTGCCGAACTGACTTACACTGAGAGAGGAAGAATGAATAGAATACGGAGGAAAAGGAGAAGATGAGTTGGCAGAGGAGGAGAAAGACCCACATGCTGGCAGCACAATTTCCTTGTTTCCCACTTCAGTTTTGAGGATCCGGTACTTCCTCCTCCCTCACCGCTCTCGCATTAAGAACTCTTTAGCATTATTGGTATTGAAATTGGAACTGGAAGTTTTTAGCCATATATATAAATATAGGGGTGTGCAACGGTTCGGTCCGGACCGGACCAAACTCATGAGAACCGCGGTTCATTGGTGACATGCATGTTAGGACCAAGGACCAGACCATTCTTGCATTTGGTCCTGTTCGGTCCGGTCCAAATATGAGCTGGATCCACCATTTCTTCAGTAATTATAAAATTCACTGAGGACCAAGGACCGGACCGCATTTTACTTGATCTGGTTTGGTCCGGTCTTAACAATGTTTGGTCCGGTACGGACCGAACATAACAGGGGAAATGCAAGGTGTTTGAAAGGACGTGATTCTTCTTCTTTCCTTAAATTCCTTCTCTTATAGATTTGATGCTATTTTATTTCACATACTAAGTAGACTTGAAAATATCGTTGCGTTGTTTACAATCGTTCGTGGTTTTTGTGAAAGAGAATGACCATGGGTTTGCATTCCTGGAAATAGATAGAGATATCATGTGTACACCTATTCTGTATCGTTGTCAATCGAGATATACTGTCTCAGGTTGTAACATGCTGGAACTGTTCTTTCCCGCATGTTCTTTCTAAGTATATTAATTTTTTAGAATTTGATGCCTTTGGTAGAATTTATTGGTGTGTGTTCGAGTTCAGTTCCAGCTTGCGTTGGAACGAAGGCTTCCTGCCATGCTCAGTATAGTAATGTGAAGCAAAATACACCAATAGTACTTCAAATTGGTTTGAAAGGAGGTCATGCTGTCTTAGGGACTTGGTGTAGTTGTTCATAGGTCGATTTTGCTACAGATACGATCCGATATTATCCTCCATGCTTTTCCACTTATTTTGAAGAGGAAATGTTTCGAGCTGACAGTACCAAGACAATTATGGACCTCATCCGCCTTTCCAGAAATCCAATGGTTGACGTGCGTTCTTTTGTCATAACTTTTACTGTCACAGCACTGTGTCTTATTACTTCATGGCAGGTTAAAGCATAATCTGCACTATTAATGTAGCCAGCCATTATTTTCATGCTTCAAAATTTATTCTGCCTCACCACTAGATGGATCTGTTTTTCCAGTCCCTTTTCCCAGTAAACTAACAAATTTCTTGCCTGCTTAGCTAAATTTTCTCACCAGTTTTGTTTACCTACAGGCTACCCAGTACTATTGTTTGGCGCAAGTCCTCTCCACTGAGGCTTCAAGATCATGGTTCTACTTAGGATGTGCCTTTTGCTTTAAGACAGCTAGGGAATTTCCTGGCACTGGTGTTTTTTTTTGTGAAGAACATGGCCAACTAAAGGCTGAAGAAACCGAACATTGGTTAGTTTAAAATCCACCTTTTCCCCATCAGTCAAGTGGGCACGCCCAATTCAACCCTGAAATTTTAATACACTTTTACAGCTACAAAATTCATTTGGCTGTCGGAGACACTACTGGTTCGGCGTGCTTCGTCGCACTTGGAAAGACCGCTGAATCTTTGCTTGGAGTTACAGCAAACGAACTATTGTTGCAGCATCCCCACCGCCATGGCCATTTCCCTCCGGCAATTGTGGCCATGAATGGATGTTGGTTTTCGTTTTGTGTGCAACTCCCTAAACCTGGATATCTGGCTCAGACTCCTCTGGAGTTTACTATACTTTCTGCATTCGACCGCAGCCAGCTTTAACAATAAACTAATGAAAACGTCAACGCTTGCGCAGAAAGTCATTGTGCTCGACCGTTGTCTTACCTATATTATCCCAGTATTTAGCAATATTTGCACTTCAACATCAACAGACTTATGTATCCGCGATGTACGTACAAACTATTCACATGCACAATGACTCCACTTTTTCGCTTACAACTCTCCATTCCCACAATATAGTCTCCCCGCCGCAGAGCGCGGGCTTCTTTACTAGTTTTTTTTAATAATTAGAGTTCTGGGATTTTTTCCGTCCATCGACCGTCGATACCAGCAAGTCGCAGTCTCTGAAAACTCACTCAAAACTTCATTATGGCGGCTGCAATGAGAAGAATCGCTAGTAAAAATTCCGCCTGGTTCACTTCGTCCTCCTCTCTTATTCTTCCCCCAGCTATCTTAGTTTCCTGCCGATCCATAGCCACCAAACTCTTCGTTGGAGGTACGCACTACTTCTTCATATCCCTCATCTTCCGCGCTTTTTGTACCGTCAGCTCCTCCCACTTAGTTTTGCTTCCCGAATGCTCTGCCAGCATGGGTAGTTAATTTCCCGGCTAAGGACCAGCGTAAATTTATATAGGCGTGCTCCATTGTCCTCGTAGATCGATAAGGAAACTTGTATCTGGACAATTGGATGCTGTAGGGTTAGGCCACGTGAACTGTAGATAACCTGTTTGTGGAAATGTCTCTGTGAAAGTTGAACTCTCTCAGTTCTGCTGGCTCTTTATGTCTATGCATTTCCTTTCCAATTGCTAGCTCGATCGTCCCGTTTCCGGTAGAGATTTAGGATCTTGTTAACACTCGTCTCATCTCATGCTTCCCAGCTAGCTCAGTCTCTTCTTGATGTAGAATCAGTAACTCTCCCTGTAGCTGTTTAGAGGACATGGTATTATATATACCCATTAACAGACTTGGTCTCGCTGTTAGAAGTGTGATGCTATTATGAAAGACCAGCCTGCAAGTCTTGCTTAAATAGAGCCACTTTCCATCTTTGCAGGATTGTCGTTCTACACAACAGAGGACGGATTATCAGAGGCATTTTCACAATATGGTCAAGTTGTTGAAGGCACAGTATTAAAGCTCTTTTCTTTTCTTTTCATTCTTCTTTGATTGAAAACCTTGTCAAGGCTGTACATATTCTTTGTTTGCTCTTTTGCAGCTAAGATCGTAACAGACAGACTGTCCAATAAGTCAAAGGGTTTTGGTTTCGTGACCTTTGCTTGTGAGGATGAAGCAGAGAAGGCCTTAACTGACATGGACGGAAAGGTGAGAAACAACTTTCAGTTTCCCAGTTGCCTTATTTTGATCGGATCATGAACGGGAACTAACCCACTAGCGATCAATCATCAGAATCTGAATGGAAAAGTCGTTTTTGTGGATTACGCCAAAGCTAAAGCTGATTTTGGGGGTGGAATGCCAATTGCTAGAGGACCTCCTGAAGAGCCACGATCCAAAGTTTTAGTAGATGAGGAGCTTTAGGGTTTCAACTTTTATGCTCTAAGGATTTTGGGTTTGACCTCCTTAAGCTGTCAATCCTTCATTATATAAAGAAAGTAAACATATTTTGTGATAAAATTTGGAAGTCCTCAATATATATGAGGTAGGTTATGAAAACCAGTTGAATCTAGTTGGTATCTAGTCTACTTTATGGCGTTATTCAGGTAAATGCCGAAAGAAGTAGGAAAAAAGAAGCGAGTTAAACAATGTTGTGCAGCAGCCAAAAAAAGATCACGCGGTTATTATTAATCCCACCAACTCAAATTTCCTCCCTCCCTCCCTCCCTCCTTCCCTCGCTTTTGTTGTTCTCTTTAGCATGAGAAGGAGAAGAAGAACGTTAATGCTGCTGCTTCTTCGTGATTGACCTGCCCACCCTGCCTCCTCTTCCTCTCTCCTTCAGTTGTTAATAGCAATGGGCATGAACCATTCGCGCACACTCGGTTCGAAGGAACAAAACGATAGTAATGGGCACGAACCATTCGCGCCCACAAAGTTCGAAGGAACAAAACAAATAAGCACCACAAACGAAGACTGTTTGGATTTAATTAAAGCGGGAGCACCAACATAGTTCGCAACTACACTTACGCAAAAAAAAAGGGGGGGGGGGGAGGGGGAAAGACGAAGACAACAAAACAACAAGTTCAAGAAGGAAACATGTCAGCGCGATAACACTTAAGCACCATCAGTGTTAGGTTGTACATCCTCTCGGCTCTGCTTGCGGCGCAGCAAGGGGCGCTCCTCCTCTTCTTCGTCATCATCGGCTATCTCGCCATCCCTTCTTGCGCCCTCAGCCTTCTCCCCGTCCGGGCGCTCATCCGCTTCCGGGCGCTCATTCTCTTCCTCATCATCATCCTCGTCCCCCGACTCGGAGTCAGACTCCAAGGGCCGCTTCTCGCCTATCCACATCTTAACGTGTTGGACCATCTCGCGAGTATCCCAGCGAACCCCGGGTTCTCTGGACGAACCTTCTTCCCAACCGCGATCACGGCCTTGGTCATGGCGTCCACCAAAATCTTCCCGAAAGAAGGAGAAGACTTGAACTGACGGACGGCCGCAACCTCAGCCGCGCGAACAGCTTCCGCTTTCGCGACGTTGTGAAGGCGGACCAGGTCGTCCTTCTCCTTCTGAAGCTCCTCGCGAGCTTGCTTCAACTTATCGGCAAAAGAGGCCTCCAGCTGTTCTCGATGGTGGAGCGCTCCTCGACCCGCACCTGCTCCTTCGCCGCCTCCACGGAGAACTCGACCCGATCTTACCGCGAAATGGACCTGAGCCAGGTCATGAAGAGGATCGGATTTCTCCAATCGCGGCGGAATACTAAGGACGGTCCCGAGCGCCCGGAAGGCGGTATTCGCAGACGCCAAATTGCAAGCCGCCCCGGTGTGAATCCGCACATCGCGGAAGTAGTTGACACCAGCGGTGGCGGGAGCAGCAGTGGCAGGGGTCCCCCCAAACCCAGCCATCTCGGGCAACCTTTGCTGGACAGTCGCCCCCGACGAGCTGCCAGTCATCTCTCTCTCAGGCCGAGAAGGCCTATTCACCGGCGCCTCTGGCTCCGAAAACGCCAGAGACAACTGTCGCGCCGCAGACGACGGTTGTTCCGCTCGTGGAATCTACGCCACCCGCAGTTGGTTCCGCCATCATGCTGACGAGGCTGGAGAAGTCAACACCTGCGCCAATAAATCGTAAGAGAGCGGTTAATATGATAGAATGCAAAAGAAAAGAAATACAACTAGGGTGAGAAAGTATTTCTCAAAGTGGTCACCCTGGAAAGGCGTAATGAGATTTGGTAAGAAGGAAAGCTTGCACCCGATATATTGGACCATATGAAATCACAGAGGAGAAGATTGGGTCAGTGGCTTATAAGTTGGCATTGCCTCCAGAACTATCTCAAATCCACAATGTATTTCATGTTAGTATGCTAAAGAGGTACAAAGTGGATCCTTCCCATGTTATACAACCAGAAGATATCGAGTTGGGTCCAGATTTGACATTTGAAGAAGTTCCAGTTGAGATTGTTGATTTTCAGATTAAGACTCTTCGTAGGTAGGAAATTCCAATGTTGAAAGTGGTGTGGAGAAATCAAGATAGTGAGAGTGCTACATGGGAAACTGGAGCAAGTATGCGAGAGAAGTACCCTGAGTTGGTAGCAAACTACTTTGCAGGTTAACAATCTTGCTTAGTAAGTTATGTTTTGAATTTGCTGATGTGTTTTGTTGTGATAGCCCAGTATAGGTTTTTGAAACCTTATATTGGGAACTTGAGGTGTTATGTGTTACTTTCTATGTTATGAATCACCTAACCTAAGAGTTAGGTAATGATTTATCTACGATAGACCATGTCAAGGGTAAGTAAGCGGACTAAGGGTACAACTCAAGGTTAGATTTCGGGGACGAAATCTTTTAAGGAGGGGAGAATTGTAACATTCCGTTCCGGCAAAACCCATATTTCGATCGTTAGAAAGTCCACGATTTAAAATCGAGTGTTTTGACAATATTTCGGCGAAAATCGGATTATCGATCGATCGGATAAGTATACGTATTAATTATATATATATATTAATTAAGCGGACGGGCATATATATATAAACCTTTCCCCCCCCCCCCCCCGTCCCTTTTATTCTCATCACCATCGTCATTCTTTTTACTTTCGGACCGAGAGAGAAGCAGAGCGAGCGAAGTGCAGGGGAGCGACTGTGGAAAAATTCCAAAGCTCCAATCTTGAGCCCTAGTGATCCAAAAATCCCGTAAGTAATGCCTAATCCATCCATTCATCGTGATTTATCGATTTAGAGCTTTAAAACGAGTTTTTGGTTCAGGAATTTCTCGAATTCCCGATAAGCCAAATTAGGGTTTCGGAGTATCCGAAAGCCGGATTGAGCCCAAATTTCATATACGAGCTTCCTGCAGCGAGGTAATCAATCCTCTAGTTCTAATCCCTGAATTTCGGCAATTATTTAGGTCGGGGTCCTAATCGCTGAATTTAGCTCCGGCCAGGGTTTGATGTGTTTTTATCGAGAATTTGACCCGGAGCCTAGAACTAATATTGACGGGGATACTGCAGGGGATATTAGGGCGGACTCGAATTTTAATTCGTGGTTCGTTCGTGAAATTGACGTTTTAGTACGGGAAGGTTAAACCGGTGTTTGAACGACCAGAACTGGTGAGGGATTAGCACGGCATACCGGGTTTGTCGTATCACGATAATTATGTTGATGCTTAGAATTGACCTAGGTGAACTAGAATGGCATGATTAGGGGTGTATGAACTTTTGTGCTATATGTTGAACTCTGGATTGCTGTATGATATTATTGACTTGCCCTAATCGATATGAACCTTGTTTATGCTGATGATTTCGTATATGTTGCAAATTGTGGGCTTGACTGTTGATATGCCTTATGATGGTTCGAAAAGGTGATTGGGTATGACATTTCATGATTGATGTATTTGGATGTACAAGTGGGAAAATATATATCTCATGGTGATATTATGATATTTAAGGAGGATGACTTGCACGAGGGTTTATCCCGATGAAGTGCAATTATACGACTCCTGGTTTACCTATGTTGAGCCAATTATGGCCAGGTCACGTACATGTGCAAGTAATGAATTATGATTAAGCAAGATGAGATATGAATCATGTATAAGGATACCAAATATGAGTGTTGTGGTCTCACGGTCAACTACATAGTAATTAGGGCTCCCTATGCTATTACTCTATTATGATATGTATGATAGTCACACCTCTCATGTGGTGGTGACTGAAGAATTCTTACGAGATATGACCACACCCAGAGCGGTGTCGGGGTATGACTACACCCATAGTGGTGTGGGGTATGTATGACCACATCCGACGGGATGTTGGGGTATGTATGACTACATCCGACGGGATGTGGGATATGTTTCCCGGGAGAGTTAATAGGATGGGAGTAGCCAGGCGCCTATAAGTAAAACATGATAAGATGCATATGCATAAGTCAAGATGGTTGAGTCTTTTGCCTATTGGGATGTCGGATGCCTGAGGTCTGATCCTAGTGCTCGGGCTTATTTGCTAGATGTATGGTAGGGGTATGCTCTGTATGAACTCACGATGCTATGATTATCTCACTCAGCTATGAGCTGACCCTCTTTTATTATTCTTCTCTGCTTATGCTATGTGTAAGCAGATCATCAGCAGCAGTAGATAGGTGAATAGGTGGGAGCTGAGTAAGAGTTGAAGGCAAGATGAGGTATGGTCTTCCACTATTCTGTGCTTGGACTACTACTCGGGATTTTGGCCAGTGATCCACACCTTTTTGTAAAAATGTTTTGAGAACGTTTTTCATGTGCATACTAGCTTCTGATGTAGTGTGAGATATCCACAGGTGTGGAAAGTTGATGATATGTGTATATTTGTGTAATTATGTAAGTTGTGACGATTATGGCATGTATCAGTACAGTATGCAGTTGTGTAACATGAAACGGTGACTATGGCTATGAAAAGCCAATGCATATGGCAGTGAGTGTGTATGTTTGTCTATGAATGCATGGATTTAGATGAATTATTTTGCAGGATTAGATGGAAGAACTGTTAGCCCATTACGCGAGTAATTCATGTCGAAATTTTATTTGGGTAAATTTTGATAATTAATGTAACACCCGAGATTATTTCCGCTGCAATTGTATGAACAATATGATTAGGTAATACGTATAGGGTAGGGTGTTACAGTTTGGTATCAGAGCCCGGTTCCCTCTTTTTGTTGTTATGGCGTACTATACCCTATGGGAGGTTAAACACTCCTAAGGAGGGGAGTACCCCATAATGACTTACACTGGGAATTGAGTTTGACATGATTATGTGTATTTGTATGTTGGATGAAATTACCTGCATCATGGTTTTCAAAATTGAGTTTTGAACTGATTTGTTTTCAAGTAATTATTTTGGGAAAATTTTGTTTTAACCAAGTGAGAGATTTGGTGAAGAATGAATTTTGTGTGGATCAATCTAAGGCCAATATTTCCTTTAGCTCGCACGGAAGTTGTCATAATGTTCCTACTGACCAGTCGAGAGGAGTGGGGGCGGTTGATGCAAGACCGCCAGTATTAGACTATGCAAAGAT